GTCCTCCTTTTTTCTCCTATATGCTTCCTTTTTGAAATCTTCATTTCTTTTAGGTTTAAAATTTACATTGTCATATTAACTCAGAAGGTGTATTCTTTGTTGACTAATTAGGTGGTGCCAAATAATCGAGGGTGGTGGAAGGATGATAGAAATTAAAGGTTCCCTGTGCACGCGGTGATTGGTATGTTATTTTGGTTGATAAAATTATGAAAATCAATTTAATCTAATTTTTAATTGTCTACCTCTTGCTAAGTTTGTAGCTAGTTGGTGGATTTGGAGTTCAGGAGATTCGTTTCAAGTGTATAGCGTCTAGGCTTGATGTCTACGGTAGTCACTAATATGTTTCGATTTTTGACAGTCCATGCTAATAATCTCCTCTCTCTGATAATTTTTCTGTTGATATCCTTAATGAGATCTTGTTATCTCGATTTTTTTTTAAAATATTGATTACATTATATCTATTTTACGTTTAAGGCATATTCCTTGGCCGATCTTATGCAGTTGGTGCTCATTGCTTCATGTATTTACTTGAAGGTATCTACTTAGACGCTGGAAAGAAAAAAGTAAAGTAAGAGTAATGTGCAATTTTAGACAGCAAACCAATTGGATACTTGCAGGCCCAGAAATGAATGACTACATTTCTTAATGATGCGAAATTTATCTGTCTTCCTAGATTTGCTAATCCCTTTCTTCTGCTCTTGAATGGACTATGATAGTTGTCATATTATCATTTGATTCTTGTTCCCTTTGCATTTTCTTTTTGATTCTTGCTGCAGCCAAATCATTGGAAGAATAATAAGATGCTTATGTTGCTGCAAACTGAACTTCTTATTGAATTGCTGGAGTTCAAATATGAAAGGCTTTCAAAATTTTAATCAAATCTCTCATGTTTGGAGCTGATATGGATTCTGTATACTTGGTTTGACTCCAATAGTTCTCATATAATCTCGGATAATTTTTTTGCCACTCTGCTGTCGTGGGATCAAATAAACATAAATGGTGCTTATGTTGGAGCGGACGAAACCTATTGAGGTACAGGGGTTGATGTTAGAAGGAAGGCATTCTAAGTTTTAGGGAATTATTGGGTCCTTATTTTTTCTCCTATATGTTTTTTTTTTAATTATTCATTTCTTTTAGGTCTAAAATTTACATTGTTATATTAACTCAAAAGATGTATTCTTTGTTGAATAATTAGATGGTGCCAAATGATTGACGCCGATAGAAGGATGGTAGAAAATAAAGGTTCCCTGTGCACGCTGTGGTTGGTATGTTATTAATGGTTATTGAAATTATAAAAATCTATTAATCTAATTTATACTTATCTACCTCTTGCTAAGTTTGTAGCTAATGGGAGGATTTGAAGTTCAAGAGACTTGGTTTTGAGTGTATAGCCTCTAGACTCGATGTCTATGGTTGTCACTAATATGTTTCAATTTTTTACGGTTCATGTTCATCATCTTTCTCTCTCTCTCTCTCTCTCTTGCTTTGAGAATTGTTTTGTTGGTATCCTTAATTAGATCTCGTTACCTTTATTTTTTTGGAGCACTAATTATATTATATGTAGTTGATGTTTAAGGCATATTCATTTTCAAATCTTATGCTGTTGGTTCTCTATCTTCACTCTTTCTTAGTCGCAGTGACCTTAAGTCTCACCTCTTTATGGATCGATAGACAATGTCGCTTATGATAGCAAATTTGGGGTTATCTTGGGCATTTATTCTTCTAATAAAAAAATACACTCATGAGGTAAAGTTTGTTTCTTTATCAACTGTCTTACTGTATGCAAAATATAGTATATTCAAATGTTGGTGAATTTATGGGTGTCTTTATATTTCTATAAGATTTTAGCCCTATGATACATCTGCATACATACATACATGTATTCATCAGTACATACATGCATGCTACATACATACATATTCATTATGCATACATACATACATGTATTCATTAGTATATACATGCATGCATACAAATATACATACATACATTGAAACATACATGCATACACATACACACATACATACATATGCATAAATACATACCTACATATTCATTATGCATACATACATATATTCATCAGTACATACATGCATACATACAAACATACATGCATACATTGAAACATACATGCATACATTCATGCATACACACATATGCAATACAAACATACATACATACATTGAAACATACATGCATACATTCATGCACACACACATATGCATTAAATGCATACATACATATGTGCACACATATATATATGCATACATGCATATGCATACACAAATGAATAATCCACACACATATATACATATAAATGCATAGGTGCATGTATATGCATACATTTATACATACATACATATGTACATTCATAGATACATACATATGCATACATATATATATATATATATATCTAAAGTGAGCACTTAGGAGCATTTGTTACAACTTTTCTGCACCCTCAAAGATACTAAATCTTTTCAATTTAAAGAATTATATATTTATGCAAGAATAAGTTCTTTCTCCCCCACACCCTCTCCCCCTCTCTTCCACTCTCTATCTCTCCCTTTCCTTCTTTCTCCCTCTCTCTCTCTCTCTCTCTCTCTCCCTCTCTTCCTCTCTCTCACTCTCTCTCTCTCACTCTTTCTAAGTCTCTCCCAGTCTCTCCCTCCCTCCCTCTCTCTGACTCTTTCTCTCGCTATCCCTTTGTCACTCCCCCTTCCCTCTCTCTCCCTTTCTCCTTCTCTCACACTCTCACTCTTTCTCTCCCTCTCTCTCTCTCTCTCTCCCCCTTTTCCTCCCTCTCTCTCCTTCTCTTCCCTTCTCCCCCCTCTCTGTCACTCTCTCTATCTCTCCCTTCCTCTCTTTCTCTTTCCCTCACTCTCTCTTTCTCTCTTCCTCCCTTTTTCTCTCCCTGCTTTCTCTCCCTAACTCTCTCCCCCCTTCACTTTTCCTCTCCAACTCTCTCACTCTCTCCCTCTCTGTCTCTCTCTACCCCTCCCTCTTGCCCTTTCTTTCTCTCTTTCTCTCTCTCTCTCTCTCTCTCTCTCTCTCTCTCTCTCTTTCACTTTTTCACTCTTTCACATTCCCTCCCTCTCTCTTTCTCTCTTTCTCTCTCTTTCCCTCTCTTTCTCTTTCTCCCTCTCTCTCCACTCCTTTTCGCTCTCTCTTTCTCTATCTCCTCGCTCCCCTCCATTATCGCTCTCTCTTTCTCTATCTCCTCTCGCCCCTCCATTTCGCTCTCTCTCTCTCTCTCTCCATATCTCTCTCCCCCTCTCTCCATCTACCTCTTTCCCTCTCTCTTTCCACTCCCTCGCTT